TGGTTGGGTGGTAGTCGTCAGGGGCACATAACTATCGACAATGGCATTTGGTGTTGTCACGTGGACCGCTGGATGGCTGAGACCATTGGTTCTGTGCATAACAAGGACAAGATAGTGTTTCTCCCCAATTTGGTATCACTGTCGTGTTGAATTTTGTCAGTGACATTAAAACAAAATAACAGTCCCTGGCTGTGGGTAAATATCTCGAAAACCATTGAGAAGTCATCGACTAATGCAGCGTGAAAAATTAAGGGATTATTATGACGAGTGAAATGGTCTTTTGCTCATGTCTCAACGACTTACGATTCTCGAGACTTTATCATTTGTTTAAGTAAGTAGCTTAAGACCTTTAGTTTCTGAGAGGGCGCATACACCGCGGGGCGCTTCTACCGCAAACGTCCACATCCTGAGAACTACGATTCTTAGATATGTGAATTGAAAAGCATTTTATTTGTCATGAAATTCCCTACATTTGTCACACTGAATGTCTCGATGACTTCTCAATAGTTTTCGAGATATTTCCATTGACAGTGGGGCATTGCAGTGACAGCGAGAGCACATTTACTCGATAGTGTATCCGTAGTGCATGTACACATGACTGTGGCCACCGTATTCCCTCCCAGCGCAGTCGTCTACTGCGCAACTTCCGTTGGGTTTTTCGTTACAAGAGATTCCCAGGGATTGCTCTATCCCAAAATTTCGATAACGAGGGCTGACATGTGAATGTTGAGTTGTTTTTTTTACCCAGCAGTGGGAAAATATTAATTAATCAAAGGTAATTGTTACCTGTACGACTGCTGGCCATCGTTGATTCGGAACTTGTTTTTGTTGAGATGACTCTGTGGCTGTAGAACAAAAGTTACCGAGTTAAGTTAATTCGTCATCGCTATTATTGCCTGATTATTCAAATTACGGATAATTGCCGTTGTTCATTATCAGTTGTTCGTCCCGTGATCGATGATTTTACGGATTTACCTGATTCTCATAAATGTCATAATCCGAAACAGTGACATCCTGATTCAAATTGTACTTGTCATTATCGTTCACTGGAACTTTCTTAGGTTTTTGCGTGTAGGAAGTGGCTTTCGAGTTGGGCGTCACCTCAGCAATCCTCACGCTCTGGTGCTGATGAGGATGTTGGAGGGGAACCGAGTGATTTACCGTGTACTGAGCGTAATCTACGCAACAACCAGTCGAAGAAAGGGGAATTAACGTCACGAGTGCAAGTAAATTAACCCTTGGCACCTCAATAAATGAGCAACAGGTGACAAATCAACAGTAAGATATCAATGATTCAAGAACTCACCGTCATCCTTGTAAATAGACACATCGTCATCATAAATAGTGTAATAAGGATAGGTCTCAGGATCATAATATGACTTGGAAATAACAGGTGTAGCTGCGGTCGAAGCAGTGGTCTTCAAAATCCTCGGGTTCTCAGACGGAATAGCTCTGCGAACCCAAGAGAACAACAAAATCAGAAAAACAATTCAGTAGCGAAGCGGTAAACTGGATTAAGTCGATTTTGACTATTGGCCAGTTTTTTTTAGAAAAATTGATTGAGTTATAATTGACAGTTTGTGCTCCTGCGGACCCTTGGGGCTTTCAGGGTCATAAGGGCCATAAGGGTCTCGGGGTACAGCAAGGTTACAAGGGTCAAAATTCCTTATTTGATTATAAGTTTATTTGATGTTGCAAGAACGGGTAACAGAGGTGACCTTTGCGGGCCCTTGGGGCCATAAGGGCCATAAGGGTCTTAGGGTACAGTAAGGTTACAAGGGTCAAGTGGGTTAAAATCCCTTATTTGATTATAAGTATATTTGATGTTACAAGAAGGGGTAACGGAGGTGACCTTTGTGGACCCTTGGGGCCTTTACGGTCATAAGGGCCATAAGGGTCTCAGGATACAGCAAGGGTCAAGAGGGTCAAAATCCATTATTTGATTATAAGTCTATTTGATGTTACAAGAACGGGTAACAGAGGTGAACTTTGCGGGCCCTTGGGCCCATAAGGGCCATAAGGGTCTCAGGGTACAGTAAGGTTACAAGGGTCAAGTGGTTTAAAATCCCTTATTTGATTATAAGTATATTTGATGTTACAAGAAGGGGTAACGGAGGTGACCTTTGTGGACCCTTGGGGCCTTTACGGTCATAAGGGCCATAAGGGTTTCAGGCTATAGCAAAGTTACTAGGGGCAAGAGGATCAAAGTCCCTTATTTGATTATAAGTCTATTTGATGTTACAAGAACGGGTAACAGAGGGGACCTTCAGGGTCATAAGGGCCATAAGGGTCTCAGGGCACAGCAAGGGTCAAGAGGATCAAAATCCCTTATTTGATTGTAAGTCTATTTGATGTTAGAAGAATCCTTTTGCAATTGAGTTATAAAAAAGGTCATGACCTCAAGGGTCATAACCTTAACCTTTGTAACTCTCAATTGCACAAAAGGTCATGAGAAAAATTTATCTATCTCTCTTAGATTCCGAGATATTCATCAAAAACTGACCAAAAGTCAACATCAACTTAACCCGATTTACCGCTTCGCTACTGAATTCCCACCAGCGACCTCGACTGGCCCCCAAACAACATCCTCAATTACCTGTAATGATTTTCAGTCTGACCTCTGCCGGAGTGCAGACTCTCCTTCTCTCTCTCCTGAAAAAGACCAATGTCCGTACAAAAAAAAAACACCAACAAGTGGGGATAATTGACAACTGCTGCTGCCATAAAGACAATTCGTTATGATTTAGTAGAGAAAGGAAAACTAAAAAGAAAGAAATATTAAATATGTGACAACGGCAGATGCAACAAAGCGGTGAGATTTTGTCCTTCGAGGAGATCCACTTTCATTCAATTCAATTCCCAATGGAGAATCCCTCGTCAAATGAGAGAAAAATTTTGCCAAATTTATTCCATTCGTCTCAAGACCTACTCTCTGATCACAAAATGACGTCACTAAATCGCATTTTCAGTTGTCCATCAGCTGTGGCGGCGCTCCGATGCATTTCCCACTGGCAAAACGCGCGGATGCGCGCGCACGAATCGCGTTAAATCCTCCTGAAACCGTTTCCCCGTCGTTTCAATGCGGAATAGTGACGTCAAAGCGTTCGAAACATGTTTCCGAAAAAAAAATTTCACAAGTATTTTCCGTCTCCAAGTGGATCCCCCACAAACATTTCTCTCTATCTACAACAAAACAAGAGGCGATGGACCCAGAACAGCCAGTATCGTCAGAAAAATCGTGTCAGTCTTCCTCTCACGCCACTCGCTCCACAAAACCCCCTCCCCCCCCTCCAAGAAATGAAAAAAAATTTCGTTGCTCGACAAATCACACTCGTTTCAACAAACTACTCATTATTTTGGAGCTCTCGTTGTCGTCGTCACCCATAAAAACTCTGTCATCTCGCGTGAAAATCAGTAGTTGAATAAGAAGAAGTCAAGAGTATTTGATCCAAAGTTTTTGGTGTTTTGGATTGACTTGACTTACGAGTGAACTCCTCGATGAAGTTGAACGTTGTCGTGTTGCCCGTTGGCCTAAACTCGTGGGTGTAACTGTTATCTCATTGCCCTCATCCTCATCGCCCGTTGATTTTTCCTCCCCAAGAGTCGTTGTCTCCACTATTTTTCCAGTTGTTGTTACCGTTGTACTGTCATTACTACGTACATCATTGAATGCGTCTTTGACAGTGTTACTTGTCGTTACTGTTATCTCATTGGCCTCAATGTCCTCGTGACTCTGTACCTGACTGATTTTACTGAGTATCTGGGCCCTCTGGTGAGGGCTCAAGGTCGTCGGAATGTCCTCGTAATTGTCAGAGCTAACGGACAATTTCTTCGGACTTTCCCGTCTTCTTGTCATTGGCGTTGTGCTGCGCAGTGTAACGTCACTCTCCAGTGATTCCCTAACAATTTGATCGTTGACCGGTCGTTTACGGACGATCTTCATCATTGTGACACCCCCCTGATACCTCTCACTACCACGATACTGAGATAATCTCGATTTTATTCGCTGGCGGAGGGTTGTCGGTGCTGTTGCAAAATTACCGTGACCAATTGGTTCATCACTGAATTCGTAGGTGACAGGTTTGCGAGACGAGGGCGTCGGCTGGATCTCATTCTGATCCGAGTCGTTGTCCTCGATTTTTGCGCCGATTTCGGGGAGGATTGAGGTGATTGGCGGAGGCGAATCGGTTGTTTTGGGGTTTTCAACGGTCATTTTTTGGCTTTCAACGGTCATTTTTCGGTTTTCAACGGTCACTTTTTCATTTTTATCAGTCACCTCGCTATTTCTCTCGGTTATGTAATTGTAATTGTCATCCTCGTGCTGATCTGTCGGATATTTAGCTACGGATTCAGTGATTTCGTCGTCAAATTTTGGTGGCAATTTGAAGGGCGATGGGGAACTGACGATTATGTAATTCCTTCTTGTTGCATCCTGATACGGATTATCGATCCTATCGCGATCGCTAATGTTATTTTTAATAGTCATTATTGGTGGTTTTGTCGGTGTCGCTGTCGAACTAACGTTTGTCACGTGTCCGACATTGTCATATCCATTTGATGCAGGTGGTGTGACGTAAGCGGGATGAAGAGGTCGTGATGGGTGCGTTGAACTTACGGATATGATGTTACGACGCAGGCCATCACGATCGCGCTGTACTTGGCCGATTGTCGATGGTTGGCCGCGGTAGACACGCTGTTGGCGATCGCTCTCGATTTCGGAGGCTGGCTCGTACTCGTCGTCGGGGTAGGTGGTGCGTTGGGGTGGTTGACGGTGGCGGGAGTGACGCTCAGGGAGCTGGGGTTGTTGGGGCGGTGGCGAACTCGGCTGACGGGCGGCCTGACGTTGGGGCGCCGGCTGACGCTGCTGGTGGGATTCCTTCGCCGCTCTGGGGAGCAAACGAATGGGGGGACCATCAAAAATTTTATTTAAAGAATACGTAATATGGGCCAATTCAATATATATTTTTTTTTAGATAAATTGAGCCAAGTTATAAGTAAATCATATGACACCAACTGTAGAGGAACGTCAAGCCGAGACGACTGTTTTTTTTTTTTTTTTTTTTTTTTTTTTTTTTTTTTTTTTTTTTTTTTTTTTTTTTTTTTTTTTTTTTTTTTTTTTTTTTTTTTTTTTTTTTTTTTTTTTTTTTTTTTTTTTTTTTTTTTTTTTTTTTTTTTTTTTTTTTTTTTTTTTTTTTTTTTTTTTTTTTTTTTTTTTTTTTTTTTTTTTTTTTTTTTTTTTTTTTTTTTTTTTTTTTTTTTTTTTTTTTTTTTTTTTTTTTTTTTTTTTTTTTTTTTTTTTTTTTTTTTTTTTTTTTTTTTTTTTTTTTTTTTTTTTTTTTTTTTTTTTTTTTTTTTTTTTTTTTTTTTTTTTTTTTTTTTTTTTTTTTTTTTTTTTTTTTTTTTTTTTTTTTTTTTTTTTTTTTTTTTTTTTTTTTTTTTTTTTTTTTTTTTTTTTTTTTTTTTTTTTTTTTTTTTTTTTTTTTTTTTTTTTTTTTTTTTTTTTTTTTTTTTTTTTTTTTTTTTTTTTTTTTTTTTTTTTTTTTTTTTTTTTTTTTTTTTTTTTTTTTTTTTTTTTTTTTTTTTTTTTTTTTTTTTTTTTTTTTTTTTTTTTTTTTTTTTTTTTTTTTTTTTTTTTTTTTTTTTTTTTTTTTTTTTTTTTTTTTTTTTTTTTTTTTTTTTTTTTTTTTTTTTTTTTTTTTTTTTTTTTTTTTTTTTTTTTTTTTTTTTTTTTTTTTTTTTTTTTTTTTTTTTTTTTTTTTTTTTTTTTTTTTTTTTTTTTTTTTTTTTTTTTTTTTTTTTTTTTTTTTTTTTAAATAATATATTTCATACTGGAATTAATAAGTACTGAAGACACTAGTTTCCAAGATGACGAGCTTTTTCATAAATAATTCATAATTCATAATTTTTTCGAAACCGTAACAAATTGAAATCGATTTATTTATAAAAAGCAAATGTTCAAAAAAACGTTTTTTTTTTAATTTAAGGGACGTTAATTCTTGAATTTCTTATAAAATTGTAATTTTTCAAATGAATTCAACTCATTAATTTTCTCATCAAGGCACAGTTGAATTAATTAACCACCGCAGTTGTACAATTTTGTCCTCATGACTGGGACAAATGAGAGGGCATAAAATGTACCGAGTGAAACGTCCAATTCGTATGATAGCATTTGTACACAATACGTTATAATGAGTACCCAGCGTCACTGTTTTACTGTGGGGGGGCCTGTTTATTATTGTGAAATGCACAAACGCTCGTGAAAAATTGCGAAACAGGACCCAGAGGCGACTGGAACGAGTGTCGACCGAGATAGATAGTTGTGTCACGAGAATGAAATTGATGAAAACAATAAATAACAGCATCAAACGAAACACTAATACCAATTCTGATTGATCATCGTTGGGAAAGAATTGGTTTCACCGTGAAAAATATCGACATTTCCTCTTCAAGATTATTCCCATCTAATCGTAAATTGCGTAATTGGGCACTTCGGGGAGTGCTAAAGTGTGCGGAAAAATAAATGATAAGTTGCATGAATACCGGATGATTGACCATGCATAACCCAATTGCCTCCAGGATATCCATTCAGCATCACTTCATCCACTTTACCATCTTTCTCTTCGGTAAGTGGAGGAAGCGGAAAGAAATGACGATTCAATGTAGATCGGATGCTAAACTGTATCCCGCATTTTTCATTTTCACACTGTAAAAAGTGTCTAGTGTTTTTTTTTTTAATAAAATGATTAGACCACATCATCTCCCGAGTTTTGAACCCGGGAACTTGAGCATGTGAAGCAACGAACTTACTTAGTCCCCCNAAAAAAAAAAAAAAAAAAAAAAAAAAAAAAAAAAAAAAAAAAAAAAAAAAAAAAAAAAAAAAAAAAAAAAAAAAAAAAAAAAAACTTGTCTTCAGGATATTCAACACAAAAATGTGTCTTATGGGATAGCGTTCAATCATATGATAAATTTATGATAGTCATGTGACATCATATTTTTTTTCGGTCATAATTTGAGTTGCCTGACATTGTTGCAGCTATTTAGATGGAATATGACACTGTAAAAAGTGTCTAGTATCTTTTTTGTTTAATGAAGTGATTAGAGCGCACCATCTCCCGAGTTTTGAACCCGGGAACTCGAGCATGTGAACCAACGAAGTTACTCCCCTNAAAAAAAAAAAAAAAAAAAAAAAAAAAAAAAAAAAAAAAAAAAAAAAAAAAAAAAAAAAAAAAAAAAAAAAAACCGTGTCTTTAAGATATTTAATACAAAAATGTGTCCAATCAGATGATAAATTTATGATAGTCATGTGACATCATATTTTTTTTGGTCATAATTTGAGTTGTTTGAGGTTGTCGCAGCTATTTACATGGAACATGACGGTCACATAGAATTTGTATTTAAAAAATGTCATAAAATTAGCCATTATCATTTTTCGAAAAATCTTAATGTGATAGTGTCTTAATGTGTTAATGTTTGAATTTGAGACACTGAAGATGACAAATTTGGGGGCACAACCGCCTCAAAAAATGGCACAACAGTGTCCTAATTTCAGAAACAAGTTTTTCTAGTGCATCGGATATTCATGCTCAATATCGGGTGAAATAGTGAGGGATCATTCACCTTTCGAGCAGCGGATCCTCGACGTCGTCCTCCTTTGCACCTCCGCTGGAGTCCAGGCAGCCTACGTTGCGGGGCCAATCGCAGGTTTGTAACTCATGGCTGACATGCAGAAAGATGAAATTTTAAAAAATTGTCAAGGATTTAAGACAAATAATTTTTAAAAAATATGCTTTCAGAAATAATAAAATCATTTTATTTCTTCAACTCAGAAAACAATTTTTTTTCCCTGAACCCCCGAATGTCTATGAAATTTCAGTCCTCTTCCAGTAGTGTGGAATCTTAAAACGATGAAATCGAAGAAAGCCTCCAGTGAATTAAATTTTTAAATGAAAAAATCACAATAAATGAACTCGCAATTCCAAAGTTGGAAATTTTCCAACTCCAGAAAAATTGAGTGTGTCAAATACTCGAAAATGTCAACATAAAGGGACCGACGCACAATAATGTTGCGATCGAATGTGGGCAACGTAATTGACACGAGTCCTCGTCTCAAACGCATTACAATATTCCGGTTTAAAGGAGAGCGGGCGGGATAATCTAGATCTCTGGTTCCGCGTGCCTCCGGGCGCCCCGCGATCAATCACAAATGAGTGACCTTGCTTTCTTCGCCTCGCATATTCCATCGTTTATCGATTAAAAAAAAAATGGCGAAACGAACAAAGAGGAAAAGGATTCAGACTCGCGAACCCGGAGATTTTGCAACGTTATAAAAAGTTACTTTGTGCGTGGGATCTGGCACAATCGATAATGTCATATGTCAAGTCTATTATCATTATGGAAATTATTATCCTACTTAGTTTTTCCTGTTTATTTTTTCTAAATTCGTGTGAGGTAATTGGGGCGCTTGGAGTGATAGATAATTCACGTTTGATCAATGGGGTGAGTTTTTTTGTAAATCTCATTCGCAGAGGATGGCAGAACGGTGGGAGATCAATTATTAATTGATTCATGTCACGACGACTAAACAAAACGATGAGAGAAATTTTTGGAGAGGGAAATACAAAATTTTAAGAAAATTTGAATTTTCAGTTAAATATAAATAAATAAATGAATACATAAAAAAATTAAAAAAGATGAAATATTTATGAATTTAATGAATGAATAATTATTAATTGTAAATAATTATGAACTATAATAAACAATAATATAATAAATTAATTATAATAAACAATAAATAATAATAATTATAATTAAATAATAATTATTATTAATGATTAATGATTATTAATTTTATTGATGTTTAATAATTATTAATTGTAAATTATTATGAATTATAATAAACAATAATATAATGAATTAATTATAATAAATTAATTATTATTATTGTTGATTATTTATTATAAATAATTATAATTATTATTATTTATTGTTTATTATAATTATTTATAATAAATAATAAACAAAAAATAATAATAATTGTAATTAAATAATAATTATTATTAATGATTATTAATTTTATTGATGTTTAATAAATTTGTTTATGAAATTGTCAATTGAAAATAATCTGAATGGAATTAAATAAACTAAAATCCACGAATTCTTGGTTTTGAAAATCTCCAAGGGTCATTGAATGCAGAATAATAATGGAATGGCATTCCACCACGGAGCGAATATTTTCCCTTATAATGCTCTCGCTGGAGCGATATATCTCACGGTTTCTGTGTGTGCAGTGCAAACAATACATGGGAAACTGATTCTTTAATGCGCGGTATATTATTGCCATGGTGCAGCGGTACACTTCACGCTGGAATTTATGTACGATGGCCGAGTGCGCTAACAATTTTTAACACGTGTATTCACTTTCGCCGGCAGCATTAAGTCCACATTAAATCGTAATTTTCCATTTTTATTATTATTATCATCTGAATTTTCGTTTGAATGCTAGGAATTCGAAAGTTACGTTGTAATTATTATAATTATTAATTGTTAATTGATATTATTTATTAATAGCAGTGAATATTGACTAATGAACGAACTCTACTTTAAATTAATCGAGTTAAATTATTTTATATTATGATTTTTTATTTTATTATTATAGTTAGGTTAAAGTTATTTAATAATTGAATGTTTAGGAGATTACATTAAGTAAAGAGGAATAATTGCAGAGAAATGTCCGCATTAAATCGTAATTGTCATTTAAATTGGGAATTTTTAATTTACGTTTTAATGATAGTAATTATTAATTATTAATTAATATCAATCGATTAATATTGAACGGTCTCTACTTTAAATCAATCTAATTAAATTATTTCATATCATTATTTTTTTTATTATTGTATTTAGCTTAAATTTATTCAATAATTGAATGTTTAGGAGATTAAATTAAATAAGAAGGAATAATTCCAGAGAAATGACGCATTTAAATCGAGTAAAAGGCGAATGAAGAATAAAAAAAATTGGGGAGAGGTGCTTCTTCGGTTTATTATTCAGCAAATGAATAATTAATTTTGTAGAAAATGTTTGCTGATGGCATTGCTCACCTGTACATGAGACCACCGGTGCAGGACTCGAGCAATGCACCACCGAATACACAGACGTAGTACTGAGTGCAGTCACGTGGGTGTGCGTAGTAGCCAAATTCTTCGGGACACTCGAACTCCAAGGCCGCATCGTTACGGCTTGCGCGAGGACTTCTCGGTGTGTTTCTTTGACATCCTGAAACAGAATAAATTGAAATTTCATGAAAAGTTTAGAAAAAATTTTCAGAAGATCGACATTTACTTTACTTTATTTTTCGTTTCGCTTTTTATTGCGAAAATACCTCCAAACCAATGGGTTTAGAGAAAAATGTCAGAAAAGCTTTTTTGGGGGGAATTTAATGGTCTTCAAAAAATATTTTATGGCATTTTTCGCTAAATCTACCAGTTTTGAAGATATTCACGAAAAAGTCGGCATGGAATTCTCAGTCGGGAAAAACCTGTTGGCGAATTATTTTGCAAATATCTCGGAGGTTTGGAAAAAATGTCGGAAAGTCTTCGCGAAAATCTGCGTATGAAATTTTCAGACACATTCTGTAATTTCGCTCTAGAAATAAAACATAAAAAGCGGAAGAGGAGCGTTTTAATTAAATTTTTTTTTCTGATTTCGTGTGATGTGAATTCCGTTTGCGGAGTGGACTGCATCATCGACGAGATATTTAATATGGCACTGGTGAACTCTTTTTGTTCAGTCATTTCTCAAGGAATATCACACACCAGTTTTCACTTTCGTTAAATTATAGTGTCAATTTCTCAGGACTCAGTGGGCAAAAAAATGAATACTCCACACGAAGAGAAATGACGCATTTGAATCAGATAAAATTTAAGACATTAAATAATTTATTCATCGAAAATGAATCATCTATTAGGGTCAAGAGAACGTTTACGAGAATTTAAAAAAATTATTTACTCGATAATTTTAGGTAAACTTATTCATTTGACTCGAATAAAATTTATTTAATAAATAAACAATTGCTTTAGGTATTTTTTCCATATAAAATGGAGAAATATCAGAACTTTTTATGAATTTACATGTTTTTATTACCATAATCTTAGAATTTGACAAGTACTTTCAATTTTGCTGTCAATTTGGAATTTCATTGAATTTTCCATGAAATGTTAATGTTTTTCTAACAATGTTTGTGCATATTTTCATCACATTATAATAAACCTACAATTTCATGGAATTTCGTCGTTAAAAATTCAAAATGTCACGGAAAAATCGACGAAAGTTGTAATTTTCAGTTCAATTATTCCACAAAAATTAATAGAAATCAGGACATTTGAGGTAAATATATTTACAACATTTGTGAATATCTGAGGAATGAATGGGTTTAAGAAATATCATAATTTATTCATCCAAAATAAACATTTACCCGAATTGTAAAAAATTATTTACTTGATAATTTCAGCTAAACTCATTCATTTGACTCAAATAAAATTTATTTAACAAATAAACAATTTCGTTGGGTATTCTTTTCCACACAAAATAAAAAAAAAAACTTTTTATGAATTTACATGTTTTTATTACCACAATTCCTAGAATTTCACAAGTGTTTTCAATTTTGCCATCAATTTCCTTGAAATAAATTCTATCAGACAAAATATTTCCTCTCCCCCTCATTACCATAGGCATTAGCATATAAAATCGGTGGGGGAAAAAATCTGTAACATTAGACCAGCGAAAAAAACGTGACATTTATATGACGATGGGATCGGTTTCTGCATAAATATTCTGGAAAACGTGTTCGCTCGGCCATGTCGACTGGGCGTCTGACCCAACCGGTCCCCATTTCCCTGTATCCCACCACCCTACATCTAGCACCCACGGGGCATTGGCATCTAACGTGCACCACAGAGTGAGAAAATAAAATTGAATGAAAAAAAAAAACGAGGAAAAAAGGAGATAGAGCCGATAGCATTTCCGCGGCTGGTCTGTACGGGCGTTGGGTTACGATTATATCGGCACTCTCCACACACCTTCTCTCCCTGAACTCCTCTGTGCATCGATATTGCCGGACGGTTGGATTTTCCGGCGGGGAATCACGAACGCTCATTTGGCTCGGGGTTAATTGAGGGCTTTGCCATTTTTTTTCAACGGTTTTATTCTTTTTTTTTTTCGTTGTCTTGTGGGGATCACGATATTTGAGGAAAAATTTTGGCTTTGGATTTGAATTGCGATTTTTATAACGCAGAATTTCGGGGAATATATGGATATTTAATTAGTGAATATTTAATTAGTTGGGAAGTCTGCGTAATTTGATGCTGAATATTTGTTTTGATTGAAAATTCAAATAAATTGTAATTTCACTCTTCTAAAAATAAGTATAAAGCTTCAGTTTTCTGTGAAACTCGAAATTTCATGATTTTTTCACGATTTCATAATTTTACTCGGAATGGCTACTCAACTGTCCATGAAATTTTAATGGTTTTCCGACAGTGTTTGTGCGTATTTTTATCACATTATAATGGAAAATTTCATGGAATTTCGTCGTTGAAAATAGAAAATTTTGTAGAAAAATCAGTGGACGTTGTCGATTTCAGAGGAATATATTCTTGGATATTTAATTAATTGGAAAGTCAGCGTAATTTGACGCTGAATATTTGTTTTGATTGAAAATTCAAGTAAATTGTAATTTCACTTTTCTGAAAATAGGTATAACACTTTAATTTTCGGTGAAACTCGAAATTTCATGATTTTTTCACGATTTCATAATTTTACTCGGAATGGCTACTCAACTGTCCATGAAATTTTAATGGTTTTCCGACAGTGTTTGTGCGTATTTTTATCACATTATAATGGAAAATTTCATGGAATTTCGTCGTTGAAAATAGAAAATTTTGTAGAAAAATCAGTGGACGTTGTCGATTTCAGAGGAATATATTCTTGGATATTTAATTAATTGGAAAGTCAGCGTAATTTGACGCTGAATATTTGTTTTGATTGAAAATTCAAGTAAATTGTAATTTCACTTTTCTGAAAATAGGTATAACACTTTAATTTTCGGTGAAACTCGAAATTTCATGATTTTTTCACGATTTCATAATTTTACTCGGAATGGCTACTCAACTGTCCATGAAATTTTAATGGTTTTCCGACAGTGTTTGTGCGTATTCTTATCACATTACAATGAAAAATTTCATGGAATTTCGTCGTTGAAAATTGAAAATTTTGTAGAAAAATCAGTGGACGTTGTCGATTTCAGAAGAATATATTCTTGGATATTTAATTAGTTGGGAAGTCAGCGTAATCTGACGCTGAATATTTGTTTTGATTGAAAATTCAAGTAAATTGCAAAATTCAATTGCAAAATTGTTTTTCGCAGCTAAAAAATTCTGAATTTCATTAAATTTTCCATGAAACTCCAAATTTCATGATTTGTCCACGATTTCATAATTTCACTCGAATGTTTGTGCATATTTTTATCACATTATCATGACCCTAAAATTTGATGGAATTTCGTCCGAGATTTTGTCGTTAAAAATTCAAAATTTCAAGGAAAAATCAACGAAAGCTCTAATTTTCAGTTCAATCATTCCCCAAAAATTAATAGAGATCAGGACATTTCAGGTAAATATACTCTAGGAAACTCCAAGCGCAATGTGCGCCTGAATATTCATATTCTCTCTCGAAATTCAAATAAAAGTCGGGAAATTCTCGTCTTCTCGCTGCTAAAAAAAATTTAATTCCATTCAGTTTCCCATGAAATCTCAAATTCCACAATTATTTTCCTCTCAAACAAAACAAATATCGCTCTCCCAAAAAATAGACCCAATACTTCAGCATTTCCACTGAATTTTACGGAGAAGAGAATCAAACTCGAAATTCCACGGGTTAAATCGTCGACGTTTAATTACAAGACACTTAATCGTCCTCGTAATCGGAATAATTGTGCTGGAATGAGGCCCGTTACTACCGAGAATCTTCATCGATGACGAAACCCCTGAAAATCTCGGAGAAGGAGGTCACGCGAGAGAGGATGAAGATTCGTCTTGCCACCTCAAAACTACCGTAACCCGTTCATGTTTACACAACAAACTGACCACCATTGATCGGCGATTCCATTATTTTCTCTTATCCAACCCACTCTCCGACTGCTGTTGCACAACCGATTAAATTAGTCTGATTTATAGTCTTCTCCTCCCCCCGAAAATAAGACATTTTATTTTATTCTCGTTGTATGAGCGACTCGACAGGGAAATGCCGGCTCATTGTGACGTTACAGCCGTTCAAATATGGATGAAAATCGCGGAGAATTTCTGATGAAATTCAAACTGCTGAAATTTTTTTCAGAATCGGGAAACCGGGTGAATTCGACCTTGACTTGTGGCCATTCTTCGATGAATGTCTCGGAATCTAAGAGAGATAGCAAAATTTTGCTCAAGACCTTTTTTGTAACCCTCAGTTGGCGCTACAAAAAAGGTCATGACAAAAATTTTTGTGTCTCTCTCAGATTCCGAGATATTCGTCAAAAACTGGCCAACAGTCAAAATCGACTTATTAACCCGTTTTATCGCTTCGCTACTGAATTATGATTCTTGATCTCTCAATTAACTGAAAATTCAAGTGACTGCGGGAAAACATTAATTTCACGAATAGAATTTAAACGAAATCCTCGCATTCCCATTCTTTCCACGACGAACTGTAATATTCCAGAGCAGTTGGGTCAAACCCCGCATTTTTGTCGGTTAATCTCGACTTTTGCGAGCGTGCAACGTGAATTTGTACCTTTCGACGGGGACTCAAGGTGCCCCGCTGCATTCTAAATGCACAGGGGCACATACAAACGATCGTCTGACTCTCTCTCCCACTGGTATCTCCAGTCGTTGCGCAATCGATTCGTTTGTGCCGATGAAAAGTAACCGGATTTTTGGCCAACCTTGTGCTGCACACGAACACAACCGTATAAACTCGTTTTGTTTACAAATAAAGTAACAACATGTGATACAAGGTAGCTGGGAGTTTACAAAATTCATCGGGTTTGAATTTACCGAGAAAAACTGTTCAATTAGTATCTGCCTTCAACATTCCTGTGGGGTTTTTAAACATGTCAGCCCTCGTTACCGAAATTTCGGGTTAGAGCAATCCCTGGGAATCTCTTGTAACGAAAAACCCAACGGAAGTTGCGCAGTAGACGACTGCGCTGGGAGGGAATACGATGGCCACAGTCATGTGTA